TATATATATTGCATCTACATTTGTTCATAATTATAACAAGTATGCCACATTTGTTCAAGATGTTATACGAGAGAGAAGAGGTTAATAGAGACACTGAACTCTATCCTTGTTTTTTGGGTAAACCTAAAACTTCTCTAAAAATCAAGTCTAAGGACCTTGGTAGAACACATTCTTAGCACATATGAAGCCCAGCATCAAAAATAAAATAAAGTCTATTAATTTAGTACAGCAAAAGCATGATTTTATGCTATTAAAATACAAATCAAAAGAAAACTAGAGTAGCTATTTTAGTATCAGACAAATTAAGCTTCAGAATAGCAAATATGATCATATGAAAGGCTGAAATTATATGGTGATAAGGTGATAAATTAACCAAGAACACATAACAATCCCAATTGTATAAACATTCAACAGGATTTTCAAAATATATAAACCATCCAGTCGTGGTTAGCATCTGCAGTCCCAGCATTCAGGAGACTAAGGCAGGAAGATTGCTGAGACCAGCCTGGACAATACAGTGAGACTCATCTAAAAAAATATATATGTATATGTACACACATGCATATATCTACATATACACAGAGACAGAAAACTATATATGCATATATATATATATATATATATATACATTTAAAGAAAAAATTAAGAGAACTCAGAAATAGGCAAAACTACAACTATAATTAGAGTTCAATACTCCTCAGTTATCAACAGAACAGAGGAAAAAATAAGATTTAGAAGATCTAAACAATGCTACCCATAAAACTTGACCTACTTGTCCGTTGCTTTGCGGAAAGACCTGGTAAGTGACCCACACAGAGATGCAGAAGGGAAGTAAAATTACAAAAGGTTTATTTTGCTAGCAAAAGGCCAATCACACTAAGAACAGTGCCAGAGATTGAAGACATACCAGATTACAGGTCATTCTTTTATAGGGTTTCATAGCCATAATCTCATTCAGGTGGCTACACTACATTTCCTCAGTTTACATTTACTGATATACAAATCACAGTCACAGGACAAGTTAACTTTTAACCCAGATGCAGCAATTCTTTTAGAATTCACCTAGCTATCTATTCTAGCCCAGGGGAAGGGGGTGTTCCCAGTCAGGAAAGCAAAATTGACAATGGTTCTTTTCATCCTGACCTTTATAATCATGTGGTTTACAAAACTTTGGAGCTCAGGGGTCTTAATGTGCCCTGTTATCTCGGGATGAGATCAGATGTCCCATTCTGCAGTTAATGCCTCTGGTGTCTGTTAATTTTGAACTAAACAAAGCAGACTGCTGTCAGATTCAGCAGGAGCCAGTCTACATTTTCAAATATTTTGTAGGTCTTTGGTTATTTCAAAATGTATCGCTATTAGTTGTAGAATACTCAACAATAGCAGAACACATATTCAAGTTTATGTGAAACATTCACCAAAGGTACATCATATTCATGGTCATAAAACAAATCTCAAGAATGAACTGAAATGAATTGGAATTTAAATGAACTGAAACCATTTAAAGTATGCATTCCGACTACAACAGAATAAAAGCAAATAACAAAGTAATCTGGAAAATCCCACAAATATTTGGTAATTAAGCAACAAACTTTGAAATAACTCATGAGTCAACATGGAAGTCATAAAGGAAATTAGATACTACTTTCAACGCAGTTTAAATGAAAACAAAACACATCAAAATCTGCAGGGTCTTGACAGTATTCAAGGTTTACTTCACCAGTAATGTCACATTTTTGTCTTGTGCCCCTAAACGGTAGATTTCCCCCAAATCCACAACTTTAATAATAACAAAACATCAAACAAAGCTAAGGTGATGCTCCTGGTATAAAATATCTGACCAGTACTCCTGTTAATTGTTAACCACTTAACAGTTTACCCCAAGCATCACCTGGGCAGTGCATTTGTTTACACACTCACTATCAAGGTCTCTCAGACAGGTGTCATTTCAATCAGTCAATTCTTATATTGAATAAATTTGATAAAATTGTCACTTTTCCTGTTGTGTTATCTTATACAAATAAATGAAAAATATGCAATTTTCGTTCCTTCTTTAAATAATTGGACTAGTATTAAAGTTGTTGAAAACAAGGAAAGAATAAAAAAAGGAGACATGATAACTAAATACACTGGAACCAAAAAAAGGACATTAAGGGAAAAGTTGGTGAAATAAGAATAAGATTTGAATTTAAAGGTAAAAGTATATATCAATGTTAATATTTTTAAATTTAGTTTTTGATACATAAAACAAAATTTTACATATTAATTATACATCTAAATGCAATTAACATTGCATTTCCAATACATGTATACACTGCAATGTTTAAATCACGTTAAACATGTTTATCTCCTCAAACATTTATTATTTTTTGGTAGTAAAACTTTTCAAAATCTTTCCTTTTACAATGTTAATTTTAGTTTTGAAATATGTACATAGTTATGTAAGTTGCTAACATTAGGGGAAACTGGATGAAATAAGAAGGGAACTCTGTTTACTATATTTAGAACTATGACATAAATCTAAAATTATCCCAACACAAAGTTGTTTTTAATTT